GATAATCTTTTTTTATGTATCAACTTGGTTAGGCTGCAGCCCCCCAGTTCTTCAATCACACAGCGATCTGAGTGTTGCTGTGAAGATATTTTTGTAGGTATAATTAAAGTCCATCATCGGTTGACCTTGGGTAAAGAAGATCATCCTTGATAATGGGGTGGGCCTGATTCAATCAGCTGAAATACCTTGAAGAGCAGAGCTGAGGCCTCGCAGAGGAATTCGGCCTGGGAAGCTGCATCTGCCTGTGCCTGAGAGTTGCAGCCTGTTTCCCAAAGGGCCGCCCACGGGTCTTGGATTTGCCTAGCCAGCCCCCACTATCATGTCAACCACTTTCTTGCAATAAATCTCTTAATCTTGTTCTACTTCTCTGACTGGATACCGACTGATGTCAAACTAGCTGCTGGTCTGGGGCATCTGCCGCTCCCTGCTTTTGTGCTGGAGAAAAGAGGCGAGTTCAGGACGCACAGAGGTGAAAAGTCAGATTAGACGCAGAGTGAAGAGGTGAACCAGAAAACAGTGAAACAAGTAAGCAAACCTGAACTTGCGCTCTGGGCTTCGACGCCAGGTACAGGGGAGAAAATGATTCATGGAGGATCTGTAGCCACAAGCCACGGATCTGGGGCCCAACTTCACAACAGGATACAAGTGTTTTCAACATTAAGAGAAATGCCACTTCCTATCTACCAGACTGGCAAAGTTTAAGGTGCGAATACCGAGGACTGGACAGAATACGGGAGAGTGGAAACTCTCATTCACTGCTTTGGAACGTCAGCTCTGCTGCACCATCTGGTAAAGCGTGTGTGTGTGTGTGTCTCCTATGCAACACTGACTTCATTCTACTGCAAACCTGATGAGCCTGTGCTCTGACATGTGCAAGAATGGTCTTTGCAACATAATGAATGTATAATTGCCCCAAACTGCAAGTAGTTCAGATCCATTCATAGGAGAATGGTCAAGTGAGTCACATGGTGGAGTACTACAGCAAAGAAAGTGAACAAAGTACAGCTGCACATCCTGGCACAAACATAATGTAGAGTAACAAAAAGTAAATTAAAAAATTCTAACACATGCATTAAGATTCCATTCCTCTTCACAGTTTTACCATATATTTTGCAGACAAAGCCAGGACTGGATCCCTAGTTACCTATGTCCGGTACCCAAGAGCTATAACCTATTCACAGTTGTGCCCACAGAACCTAGGAGAGTACAGGGCATACAGATGAGACCAGATAGAGGTTTGTGGAATAAATGAATACCTTTTGAACAGGGAAATGCAAGCCAGGAACCGGACCCCATGTTTCTAGCCTACAGTCCTGATGCATGAAATCCCAAACTCCTCCCCCCTCTGCATAGCTGGCCTGCTGCTGTCCCTTGTTAACTCCCTTCCCCAGCACCCTAACACCAAGGTCTCCCAGACATTTCCTTCTAAAAGCCACTCAAGTCCCAGTGGGACATAGTCTTGCCAAAAATCCTGAGAGGAGCTTATTATCGTTGCCAATGAAATGAAGTTTTGAGATTTGCTCTAGACTTAATTCAGACAGGCTATGTTTTCCCACCATTTAACATAGGGTCCAGAAAGGTGGGGAAAACAAGAAATTTGGCAAGACGTGGCCAACATGAGGCTTAGAAAATCAAACAGAACTAGCACATAGGTTAAGAAATTTTAGTTCAAACTAATAACAAAATAGCATCATAATAAAGCCCTGGCGGGAGCTGGGTGGAGAACTTAATTACACTAGGCTATATTGATAAAGGACTTACTGTGGAATCCTGGGCACCTTTCTATGTGGAAAATAAATATAACTGAAGGGACATATTTTAGGGAAAGGTAATTGATACATTTTCTCTCCTGAAGTACTAATACTTTTAAAATACATCTTTTTCAACACCAAGGGTATTCCTGCTTTGAATATTACAAAGACAGAATGCTTTATACAAGGTGATACAATCGTAGTAATTTCATCTCCCAATACCAACTAACTTAAGAAAGAACTGTACGTTGGTGTTGGCTAATGACATGGCTACTGTCAGTTAATGCCATTATCTCTGCAGAGTAACGTGGTATAAGAATACTGCAATTGCTTTTTTCAGCCAGATCAAGTTCATTTCAACTTTCCAAGTTTTTAAAATTCTGAATGTTACCCTGGCTGGTTTGGCTCAGGGGTTAGACTATTGGCCTGAGGACAAAGGATCTCAGGTCTGATTCCCAGTCAAGGTCGCATACCTGGGTTGCAGGTTCCCCAGCCCTGATCCTGGTCAGGTGCAGAAGGCAGCCAATTGACGTGTCTCTCTCACATTGATATTTCACTCTCTCTCTCTTCCCTTCCCTTCCTTCCACTCTATCTAAAAATCAATGGAAAATATCCTTGGGTGATGATTAACTACAACAACAAAAATTCCAAATATCATGTATACCTTAAGAATATTCACAGCCTATTCGATTATTCCTTTTTTTTTATCTTCACCACCCTATTGTCTCTGTCCATGGGCAATGCATATATGCATGCAAGTTCTTTGGTTAATCTCTTTCTTTCCCTCTCCCTCCTTCCCTCTGAAATTTGTCAGTCTGGTCCATGTTTCTATGCCCCTGGTTCTAGTTTACACATTAGTTTAGTCCATATGTAAGTGAGATCATGTGATATTTGTCTTCCTCTGACTTGCTTATTTCGCTTAGCACAATACTCTCCAGGTCATTCTTGAATCTCTTGCTATCATTTACACATTGAAGCACATTTATCGTTTTAGGTAGTGAGATAGTCACAAACAATTGATAATCAGTTGAAAGACCTTAAGAGCAGAGTTGAGGCTTCCTCAACATCTAGTAAACAAGCATTTCTTTTTTCTTTCTATCAATGTTACATACACTGGAGGCTAGGATTGTCTAGGTTCATTTACTCGGCTACAAATCACTCTTAGTTTCAGTCCAATGATTTACTGGATTTCTTCTGTGCACCTAACATTATGTTATGTTACATACTATTTGGGAGGGAGTTTCTACTCTGATGGGGCTTTCAAGATAGTTGATTGAACAAGACTTATATCCAAGGAACAGTTAAAGAATAAACATGAAAGAATATAAAACCCGAGGTGTAATAGAATCTTGACTTCTGAGCTTGGCTATATTTTGAACACAAACTTCCTTGAAGCTTTTGAAAAATCCACTCCCTTCTCTTAGCCTCCTTCTTTGGTGAAAGAAGGAGGATATACTCTCAAAAGTTCTTCCAACAGAGCTGTTCAATTAGGACAAGTATAAGAGTATCTTCTAAAAGATGTGTGTGGAAAAAAATTTGCCATGCAAAGATTGTTCCGGGGTGGGATTAATCAGACAAGTTTTCATGGAAGTGGTGAGTCCTAAGGTTGGTCTAGAAGGACAATAATGAGAAATGGTAGGACAAGCATTGTAATTGTGGTGTTGGGTGTGACTTAATGGGAGCATGACATTTGTAAACCTCGTTCTTTTCCTATCTGTCCCTTCTGTCTTTATGACTAAATGCACGCTGTTCTCCATTCATTATTAATCAACTCTCTTTCAATAAGGAAGTTAAAAGGGAGAGACGGTGTTCAAGGTGGATGGATGAAGAATCACATTACCAACTTCATAGAGAACTACGCCTACAGAGCAGTCATCCAGCCGGTTTCACTCACTGCCCTAGTAACTCTGCCAAATTGATGACCTAGTGATCTAAAAAGTGTTGAATCACACACACAAGGTGTTATCAATCATCCAACGTGGAACAGAGATTGAGTAATTACCCAGGAGATTGGATCGGTGGCAAACTGAGTCCCAAGAATTCCCCTTGAGACTAAGTTATCTTGACTGGTACCTTTATGAATCAAATCAGCCAGACACTACATCTCTTCCCTTCTCTTGGTACTTGGTAGAAGGAGATTTAGACAGGAAGTTGTCTAATGTAGGACCAAGTTGCAATATCTTACTAAAGTTAAGGGATTTAAGCAGCTGTCCACTTTTGTGTACAGAAAACATTATGGCCTCAAAAGTTTCCTGTTGCTTATATACTCTGCTACGGTTACAGAAGAAACTCCCAGTAAAGTTACCATCCCTCACAGGGTCTGGGTGAAGTCTGTAGAGAAATTACTTGTCCCCGGTTCTTTCCATTTCCTTTCATTTTCCCACTTACAATGCTCAGGTTGAGTCCCCTGAAATGCTTATCAGAATCCACCTTCCCTAATTCCTTCACCATCTACCTGTTTTCCCTTTGAAGTCCATGGTTTTCAAATTCTTAAGACATATGAATAATATTAAGTGATCCTTTTATTAACTATCTCCCTCACCCATTACTTTTTAATCTTTGAAGAAAGCATGACCCCTTTCCAGTGGTCCTTCATGCATAAACTATTCTCTCCCACACAGTAAAGAGAATGAGGGAGTTGCAAGGAAATAACTCAGGCCAGTGCATCTCTGAAAACCACCTGAAACTGTTTCGCACCAGGCAGAGAGGGGCAGTGAAGATCATTGCAGGGGCCTGGGGGCAGGGAACGTACCTCAGTGAACCAGAAACAAAGAGAAGTGTAGCTGATTTCATCGTCTGATAACGTGCTGACGTTTTTTCAGCATCACTTCATACGTCAGCAGCAGCAGCAGACACATAAGTCTGCGTTCCGTACGCAGACTTGCCAAGCTGTCTGAAACTATCCCGCACTGCTGTATCATAACACTGCTGATACTAAAAATCATTTTCTTTACATTATCTTCCCCGCGGGGGTTCAGAAACGTGTTTTGCAAAGCCCATTCACCACTCTGAATATCATATGAATATCATCAACGAATGTGGCAAGAATATAGGAAAGGCCTTTTTCCCTTCCTGTTAATACAACGAGACTTATAGAGAACTGAAATAATTTATACACGGGTGCAGACTTTTTTGGCAACAGAATGGGGATGATATAACAGATTTAAATAAGAACAGGTCATGTTGGAATTAAACAATAATAGAACAAAGCAAGCTCCTCAGCCCAGCGAGGAGGCTTAGTCACGGTACCCTTCAGTCCGCAGGCAGGCTCCTTCCTCTGTCTCCTGTAAACGATGTGCGGGTGGTGCTCCCCCTCGGCCTGGGGGTGCTTTCTGACAGGCTCAATAAAAAAGTCTCCGTGCGGTAGATGGAAAACTCCAGTCTGTGAACACAGATGCAGTAGAACATTTTATTTGAATCAATTCTTTATCTATGGAAAGAAAATTAGCAAAGTGAAGATTATATAGATCGTGATCACCCCTAGAACGTGTGAGGCCGATGCTTTCAAAGCTGCCATTTGCTCACACAGAAGAACCAGTCGGGAGACATTTAATGGAAGTCGTCATAGTCATAGTCATTAAATGTTTAGGGGTCATGGATTCCTTTGAGATTCTATTGAAAAGAGTGCACATGTACCATCTAAAATATAGCATACAATTGTGCAGGTTCATGGATCCCCCCTAAAACCCGTAGCTGGAGAGCCATAAATGTTAAATAAGAGCTACGGCTTCCTGGCCGCCCGATCATGGGGTTGGTACCTATACCCCATCGTCCACGGACAGCTTTGGGGAACAGCTGTTGACCTGAATGTGGGCAGCCCAGCTACATGCTCACACAGCTGTTTGACCTGCAGTGGTTGATACATTCTGCTTTCAAGAAAACGAAGAACTGTAACACGAAGCCTCCGGTCTGAGCCTGGGTTTCCAGGTGTCTGCAGTGCAAACCTTTGTCTGTTTCCAAGGAAAGGGGCACTCTCATTTCACAGACGTGGAACCTGCGATACTCCAGAGAACACTAGTCAATGAGGAACGCTCTTTGGGGGCAGAAACCCAGGCTCTGGAATTAAAATGGGCTCAAGTCCCAGCTCCTCCACTTACTAACCCGGTGACCTTGGGCCAATGACTTGTTCAGTTTCAGCTTTCTCAGCTGATAAATGGAGATTAGTCAAGGGTTACTGTGAAGATTCAGTGAATTAATATACGCAAAGATCTTAGAAAAGGGCCTGGTTCATAGTCTCCCCTATCATAGACTCTTTCCAGATCTCAGATTGCATATCATTTCATCATATTAGGGTCTCCAGAGTTAATATAGCAGCGCAATAAGTTTCAATTTTGTAAAAGTAAGCCTGGAAATGTTGGGGGATCATAGAAACTGTGAAAGGCTTCCAAAGATCAAGCCCCCTAGCCGGCCCACTGCCCCAGCAAACCGGGGCCCTGCCCTGCAGGGGGGTCTGCAGACAGCCCAGCAGCCCCAGGCAGGAGACAGGAGGGCTTCCACGAAAGGAGGCTGCTCTCTGCTGGACAGCTGCCCGTGGGTGTCTTTCCGAAATGTTTGCTTCACTGCGCCAGTAATATAACCAGAGAGTAACATATATCGCCACAACTGACTTCCTATTTTGATTACTGACCTTAAAATGACTTCAATAACAATAAGAATAGGAAAAAAAGAGAGAGAGAGAAAGAAACACTTTCCTGGGGGGTCATAACAATAGCTGTATGACCTTGACTTGGTGGCGCAGCCTGTAAAATAGGTAATGCCTACCACCGCATAGGCTGCTAGGAGAATCGAGTGAGCCGAAGTTTGCACCAACTGCTTTACAAATGCAGGGTGGTGATGTTTTAACTACCAACTCTAACAGTAATCACGTCTGACTTCAAATTTGCTGACATTTCTTGGAAGACATTTATTCTCAGCATCATCCTCTGAGGACACACCACCGGGACAGGAGGAACTGACAAGGCCCAGATTGCCATCAAGTAGCTGGAAACAGGCCTGTGCAGTGCTGAGATCTGGTCCAATTTCCACTCTGAGACAAAGCCCAGGAACACATGCGTGAAGTGTGCCTGTTGCTAACGAAGTTCCTTTGTTCCACAGAAGCAAAGTAGAAGTCAAGAACTCCTGAAGGATGACTGGCTTGGGGGCCCTTTGTGACACCGCTATCAACCTGATACTGATGTGCAGGAAGAAAAACTATCACCAACAAGAAGAATGTGTTGGTATTTCTTTGGCCTCAAATTTGGACCCATGTGGTGCAGAAAAAGCAGATGGGACTCCGGTCGGGAACATAACAACTGTTTATGAGCAACATGAATGGCAATGCCTGAAAGCCAAGCGAGAATTTCCTAAAGGCTCACTCCGTTGGCATCCCTCCACTCAGCCCGCCGGGCCAGCGTGCGTCACCTGAGCAGCCACGTATTTCTCTGGAGCTGGGCGGAGACCTAGGAGGGCTGGCTGGCTCACCAGCCGAGGGGAAGCAGGACACCCACCGGCTCACACGCAAGTAGGGCTGTTGGCCCCAGGACCCCATGTGTGTGTCTCTGAGTAGGGACTGGGCAGGAGAGGGGATGAAGAGACCTCTGCTGGTTTGGGGGAAAGTGAGGTGGAATGATTTCCCAGCTGAGCTCTGCCCCTCCTCTCTCCCCCAACATATAAACACAGAGCCTTGTCCACGTGGTACCCAGGGGCCATGGTTTATTGGCGTCTCTCATTTAACCAGAGCCAGGTCATGGAAGAAATCGTGGACAGTTTACTTTGCAAAGGAAGGACAGGCTCCCAGCCTTCTCCGAAGCTAACTGCCCAAGAAAACACCTGCTATTGCCTGTTCTGGACCTGAGCTCGAGAAGGCGCTCGCTCTTTATTCCAGTCTTCTCCACAATCTGCTCGCCTCTCCAGACCTTTGCGTGGAAGCGGACTGAGAAAAAGGAGTATTCACTTCACTGGGGGTTTGTACTCTGTTCCCAAAAAAACCAAGGCGGAATGAGCCTCAGACAGAAGCTCAAAGAAGACAAAGTTGCTCTTTAATCTTCTCTGTCATCTACTCTTTCTCCTCCACACTGCTCGCTCTCTTTTGGAAATAAACTTACCTCATTGTTTTAACAAAGTTATAAATATCCACGAACACTTCCCAAGACTGTCTTGGAAGAGGTGTCTTAAATAAACTTTATTTTGAAGCATTATAAACATACAGAGAGATGTACAAATCGGAACTGTAAAGTCCCATAAATCTTCCGTAGAGGCAACACCTCAATGGAGAAACAGAACACTCCCAACTGCTGAGACACCCCTCTCCAGTCTATAACATCCCCCAAGGCTAACCGTTGTTCTGATTTCTGACACTTACATGTTAGTTTTAAGCCTATCCTGAATTATGTACAGAAAGCATTACTTGACACAAAAGAAAAATAATGTGTATCTCAAGTGTTAGGGACTGGCCCATGGAAAAGATTTCAAGGCAGGTGGATTTCTCAAGGCCCGTTACATTGGAATCTTCCTATTGCTTCTACTCATCGGGCAAGCCCAGCTGTGGGGCTGAGGCGGGCCAAGCTACCTTAGTGAAGGGTGCGAGGGACCTTCACAGACTCTTTATTTATTTTATTTTATTTTATCCTCACCCGAGGATATTTTTCCATTTTTGTACAGATAGAGTGGGAGGGAGAGAGAGAGAGAGAAACATCGACATGAAGGGACACATCGAGTGGCTGCCACCTGCACAACCAACCAGGGCCGGGGACAAACTACAACCGAAGTACGCGCCCTTAGCGGGAACCGAACCCGGGTCTCTCCGGACCACAGGCCGACGCTCTACCCGCTGAGCCAAACTGGCCAGGGCTTCACAGACTCTTTAGAACCAACTTATCTTTCCCCGTGTCTGATTGAAAATACTCAACTCCTTCTCCTCAATTCCCATCAAAGTGTTAGTCATCTTTCTGTTCTTGACATACTGCAGTTAATACAATGATTTGGGGTCGAGTGGGAAACGGGCAACATCTTACCAGGAATGTGAGTAGAGTATTCTAGAATCACAAAGCCTGGAAACCTTACCGAGCCATCTAGCTGATGCTGCCTTGCCTTCAGGAAGACCACAGGTATAGCCTAGCAGACTGCAGAGTAGAAAGCAGTGTGTTTGTAAAAGACACTGGAGGGAATGCACAATCAGTCCCAACATGCAGAACCCTGTGCTGCACAGCTCAAGGGGGTGTTTTCACCCAGGAAACACTAGCACCCCCTTGAGTGGTGGGGTAGTGCTCCAAAACTCACCAACTGCCTTGGAAAGAAATTCCTTTCCATTTGAAAAGTCAGAAGTTACCAGATCAGAGTGTTCCTTCCCAAGGGGATCGAGGCAATCTTATCAACATATTCAGAAATCAAAAGCAGAAGGAAAAATTGTTGTGGGACAAAGAGGTGCCCAAGACACTGAATTATAGTGCATGGGTCACTGGAAAAGATACCACCTGTTACCCACTGTATACACAGGAAAGAGGATAAAATGCACCCCTCCAAGCCCCCCTAATTGACGATCAATCTGCATCAGTCACATGGGCAGCCCTGTGCCAAGGGCTGGGATAGTGAGCCCTGCACTTACAACCCAGTCCGGAAGACAAGACTGACATCCACAAACCAGTAGAAAGGGGACAGCAAAGCCTTAGCATGTTTGTGTAGAAAGAGCTTAGTATTCACACGAGCCAAGAGGCCAGTCATGGCCTCTGGTGGCACCGGCCCAGAGCACACACCTCAAGTCTTCTGGGACAGGCCACTTCATACCGCACCGTGCCGGAGGTGAGGGAAGGTCCCTCCCTGGGTGCCACAGGGTCCAGTGCTGGGGTGCAGGGGAAACAGAGCCCCATGCAAGCAGACGCTTTTAGGGTAAAGACAAAAGATTGCAGTTCTATGTTCTGCAAAATACTTGGCACAGTCCTAGCATCTGGGATGCCCCGACAGCATCCCAGAATCACTGGTTTGCAAGAGACAGAACCATCTTCTTTCATTTAATATATAGCCAGGTCCCTAAATCAGAAGTCACAGGATAACAGAAGCCTTAGAATACAGAGAAACAAAACCACTGAGAAGATTCCCCCAGGAACACCCCAGCCTCCACTGGGATGCTAAGGTAATGTCATCGATTCATGAAGATTATGCATATTAGTCCTTTTTTCTTTTAAATTTCAAGGTACATTTAATTTATCAAGAGTGTGATACAAAAGGCCCAAAATACAATGAAGGAACACATTCCCCCATCAACACCAATGACAAAGCCCTTTCAACATGTGCCTGTTGAATGAAATGGGGATTTAATAAATTTCACTACTGAAAAAATAACACAGTGAGTCTCATCACAGCCAATACCCTTATACAATCTAGCTGTGAAATGAATGTTTATAATGC